CTATGAGGCTATGAATAATGGATTAGATTATGTAGGCTTTTTATACTGACGGATGGAGTTAAAATTATGACCTAATTACTATTGCTAGAACGATGACATAATGTCTCATGCAATACAGTATGAGCAAGCGAATTCCTTCAATAGTTTTTAGCCATTGCCTAAACTGAAACGTGCCTGATTACGTCAGTCCAGGCTCTAAAATATTTGCATATTCATCCTAGACTAATTAGGCTGAGTGGTTATTACATGATTTTTGTAGACTCATGTAACATGATACAAACACATATAAAATAATACCGTTTATGACGCAAACACGCAAGCATTGCAACGCGTTTTGAATGTTTCTGAAATTCGATGCAATAAGCCGGATGCACCTACTTCAAATTTCCGTCTACGAAGATCATGCAAATGATCAGATAATTATGCGCTGTTTGGAAGTTTTTACTTGGATTTGACTCGTAGCTTACCTCATCCCCCCCCAATATCTCCCCGGATTTGAACTTTTCACAAGGCGGTTTTGGAGACTATTGGGGGGGGGGGGGCGACTGCCCCCCCTCGCCCCCCCTTGGCTACACCACTGTAGATGAGCCAACGTGTGCTCCTGGGGCAATTGCACCAAATAAATATGTTTAAACTAATTGAGAAGTCATAATACTATATATACATCATGTAAAATGAGAAAAAGGATACTGTTTACATCCAGCCTTGTTTTCTCGTCTTGTAAAGATACCAGGAAAAAACTCCTTAACATGACGTGTAAGAAGCTTTTTTTTATCAGGTTCAAAACCCAAACAGGACAGGACATTTTCAACAGTAATTTCAAATCCTTCCTGTAATTGAAAGGTTTCCTTGAACAATATTTCCAATTGTTCCTTCCGCTCAGCAACTTCACCACCACATGGTTTGCCTCCTGCATTTACCAACAAATTTTGTTTATTACAGTTATAGTAGAATTCATTCCGTGAATTATATACATATATTAATCTTGAGTACCGGTAGCTCATTAATATTAAAAGCTCAAAATAAACCTACCAACATTGAAACGCTTCAGTTTAGGCAATACATCTTGCTTTGATGAGGGAGTGAGGTGATGTTTTCCTCCAATTGGGCTGCTCTCAACATTACTAATGGAGTACTTGTTCTAGGGACATCATCTGAGAATAATAATATAATACTGTTTGCATTACAATGGTTTTTTTAGAAAATAGTTAAAATATTCAGAATATTAAATATACACATCTGGTGTTTTGTTATGACTGTCTGGCCATGTTTATATTTGATACTTACCGTCAATTGATAAATTACTGAATGATACTTCAAGATTCTCATCATCACTATCAGATATAAAATAATCTTCTAAGTCCGTCATGGGCTCATTGTCTTCAGAAGATTCCGCCATGTCTCAGCATTTAGCCCATTTGTAGATTTTCAAGTAAATTTGTAGATTTTCGAGTCACGATTTGGCACGCCCTTATTTTAATTTGTTTCGCCTTCCCAGCATGCATCACAACAGATTTGTTCAGCCACTGATCTATATATTAAACTGATATGTCTATATATACACTGATCTATAAATAGTAAGGGCTTGCGGAGGAGGCAGTCACAACACTTTTAGTATAAAATAACGTGTAAATTAAATCAGTCTTGCATTGACAAAGATCCGGGTTTACGGGTCAAAAGCTTTGCCAAATAAATATTTGTGATGTTTCCACAAAAAAACAAAATTGGTAGATGTTTGAGTGGTTTTGGTGTTTGCTAAAGTATCTGGGAATAATTTTGAGCTCATAATAATAAGCGTGATGGTCAAGATAAAAACATTGTGTCATCCCTATAGTGATGTTACATGCATATGTAACAATTTAAGTAAGCCAAAATGGTAGATATCTCATGGCTTTCAGTCAAACTATTTTGAGAAGTAACTGTTAATTAAATTAAAGCAAGAAATGTAAAAACAGTAAAACAGTTAAATATATAATTTTAAATGTTCATTCAAATGAGTCAATCTAAATTTTTATTACCAATACCCTTTAATATATTTAAAACACTGTTACCTGTCTTTCTTCCCTTTCATCCATTTCAACATTTTCAGTGCCATCTTGATCACAATTTGTGTTACCGGTATATTCCTTAGCATCTTGACTATCTTCATCACTCTCTGTATTATATCCATCAGCATCTTCATCATTGCTACCAATGACAGAAGCAGTTTCCTAAAACAACATATTTCTAGTTGAAAATACTGTCAATCCTATATGACCAGTAACTTCGGGGAAAGTATATTTGAGAAAACAGTTAAATGTACACACTGCACAGGGTTCCTATCTTTAAAGCCAGCAAGAGCAATGAGGCACGCTAATTTAGATACAAGGGTCTTCATGCTCAGTCAACAAAATAGTTTGCACGGAATCAGTCAATGCCCATGTGATTGGGTTTTTTTGTGTGATCGCCTCCGTATTCATCAGTATATTAGCACATGTCCCCCCCCCTGATACTAACTTCCACATTATCCTTTTACTTTGTCTAATATCACATGATTTTTGAACTTTATATAGACAATTTTGAGACGATAAGCGAACATTTAAGAACTTATGTCCAAACTGGATCGACAAAGACTCCAACAAGAGGTAGAGGCCAAAGAGTGTCGAAAAGGAATCCATTATATGAGAACAATAGTGATGAGTAGGACAAGGAAAACCACCCGGAAAAGGTAAAGTCTGATTACCATGGAATGATTTATTATTAGTAAATATTAATTGTAATTTTAGGTGGTTTGCATTTACACAGGGTTCACATTAAATATTTAAAAGTGAATAGCAAACTTGTACCTACTGATTGTTGTATAACATATTTTTACCTGTTTTCCATTATGTCCAAAGCGGCCATGTGTCATTGTTAATATAATTGCTACATTTCAACATTTAAACAGTGCTCATAATAAATAGAAAGATCTTCGACAGATTTATTTGCAATATCGGGCTTTTCAATGCAAGTGGTTGCAACATTGCATTTATAGTGAAATGATTGTTCAATTCAAAACACTCTAGAGATAATTAAGGAACACGCAAGTAGTATTACATTTTTTATTGACAAAGATCGACATCTGATGAGAAATAGTTGGCCTTAGGGGTTGACTACCTCACAGGAGTTCGTTGAGGGTGATGTCATTAACCCATTAAGCACCAGCACTCTCCCCTTGACGAGTGAAATCGTCTGGCGTTAGACAGAGTAAAATACTAAAGTAGGGTGCATCAGGGTGCAATGCGACTCAATGGGTTAAACTTTTTTAATCTGTTAATAACACCCTAACAACCCTACACTAACCCCTAACCCACAACAAATGCCCGCAAGGTAGTCATTCTGTTGGCCTTAAACATTATAATGCAAACAACAGTTTTATTTTATATAAAACCTCAAGCTCTTGAAAGTATAAAATGGTTGAATTGCAAAATGGGTAGCAAAATGCAAAACTCTGCATGGACATTCAAATCTCAATTCAGCATCTCGTATTGGTTAATGAAAATCAATCATGTGTTGCTCTATTTGTATTCTTAGTCAAAGCCAAAAAAAACTGAAAAGGGCAAAGACTGGTGATGTTTCAAGCAGGCCAATGTATGATGTACTGCAAAAGAAATATGGCCACTTATCTTCAGTAAGTACACAAGTTGTGTAAACAAGTCAGTTACATTTTTCATATTTTGTTGTGTTATGGATGGACACCATTCGTAATATCACACTATTGCTGCTTTTTACATGTATTGTAACAGGGCAAGTGTTGCAACAACAATGCCATCTCTTGTCAAATTTTGAATTCTGGAACAAAACTTGTTGTAGTATCTCTTTGCTTTCTATTGTTGATGATTAACCTTAACTGATTGCCGAAAATCCGGCACAGCTTTAGATGCCCATGTAAAAAATTGAATATGCTTGCATGGTTGTAAACTAAATCGGTGTGATTATTAAATTATCTTTTTGTAGGAACCACCATCATCACATGAAAAAAAAACTTGAACAAGAAGTGACAACATTAAAGGAATCAAATGAAGATTTAAAATTTCAACTTCAGAAACTGCAAATGGTAGTTGATAACTTGAAAGGTAATTACATAGCCTGTGAGTATGTATATGGATATGACAAGTTTTGAAATACCAGAACAGCAGGACCTTGGCAGCTTGGCTGCCCAATATACACTATATACATCATTAGGTGGTTACTTCTAGTTGTTATAGTACCATTGGCTTGACTCTAGGACAGATAACATCCTCGTTGTGTCAACCAAACACATGTGCTAATATTTTAGTTAGAGGCACTTCTATATCACACTCCAGCATCCCATTCAGATGATAACATGCTTACCCTATATTAATTATTAAATTAATTGAATTTTATAGGTTTACCCAGTATTATTGAACAATTGAAAGACACTGTTGACAAGTCTAAGACAGAGGTGACCAAGAATGCCTCCTTGCAGAAGACACCAAGAGCATCCACGCCCAAGAACACCTCATCTCAAGTTGTGCCATTTGTTTCCTCCAAAAGCACATCAAAAATATGTACAACCTTGTTCGATCAAACGTCTTCCCCTTCATCATCACCAAGTATTAGTGAAGAATGTGGACATGACAGTGCAACAGTAAGTTACATTAATTTTTTATGTAATCTGGTGTTATGCACTCAGGTGTAGATACTGGATATGTTTGTATGTTGTTACTTGATTCCCACCGCGGTCAAGCTGATTTTTCAACTTGCCCGGTGTCGACTCAGTAACAACATCACAAACAGTAAGTTACAATATCAATTAGTGACTAATCAAACAGTTAGCCAGAATTTTTTATCAGTTCACTGTCTGACCATAGAATGTTACGGCCAGTTGTCTTATTGTCGTGGTTTTTAAAACCAACATATTTTGCAAATACTCACTTGACATCTAATCTACCTTTTTATTTCCATTAATTTTTGCTAAACAAAAATTTCTGCACAAAACATATTACAGTTGCAGATGCCATGTTTGATTTTAAGTCTGCCAGGTTTTGCATCTGTTTTAAATTTGTCTCGACTTCTGATTGGTCATAATAAGAGTTATTTTTCTTATCATTGGATAAGACTGGATCAGTGTAGAGAGCCAGATTTGTTAAAGTCCATTACATGTAATTGGTTGATACTTATTGGCAAATAGATTAGGAACTTACAAGTATTAATTTCCATTGTTCTTGTTCCGCAAACAGTTTACTGGCTATTTGTAAATTATATAAGCTAGCTGATGTGTAGCTAAATTGCCGATTTATTCATTTTGTAATTTAGATTGAGATTCATCCTGCAATCCAGATTCTGCCATCACAGAAAAAATTGTTGGATGCCATGGCTGACCCAAAGACTTACATCTACTCTATCATGGAAATGTTGTGGTCCCGGAGTGTTTTAGCAACACATTCCATGACTGGAAAGGTGTCAAATGCACATAAGGACAAGGACGCAAAACCTTGCCTTGATCAAGTAAAGGTCGTAGCACTATGTGGTAAGTTGAATTTGGCTTTTTTTCAATAGTACAACTATGTGTTTGAAAATGTTGGTTTTTCATAATTTGGCGGGTTCAATTGAGTTATCGAGCATGCGGGAAATTGCGAGAGCAATGAATGAGCATGAAAATTAAAAGCGTGAGAATTGGTTGAGGCTAGTGCTTTCGTGCTCTCCCAATTTACTGTGTGCTCAACAACCCAATTGATCATGCCAAGTTATGAAAAAAATGCTTTTATAATATAAAATTGACACAAAAATAAGAGGAAAACATTTATTCCATGCCTTTTTGCCATGCTCAATTGAGTTATTGAACGTGCTTCTCAACCAATATCATGTGTATATTATAAACTGATTTTGCCCACATTCTTTTTGTTTCACAACTAGTAATGAAAAGGTTTCAGCTGGCCAATGACAAGGACGTCAGGAAACACATTAAGGCAAAATTAAATAACATTGAAAAATGCCATAAACTGAAAAAGTAAAATTAGTTAATTCTGCTTGGACTGGAAAACCACCCTACTTCAGGTTGGAAATTCATTGTATTTGAACCCTAATGTTGTGTGTATATAGTGTAAATTAATCTTGAATGGTCTGTGCCAGTGTAGGTAGTGCCAATAATAACAATACTTTCGGTTGGTAGGGATGCAACTACCTGGAAAAAACAAGCAGAAATGTGACGTTTTGAGCGAAGGCCCTTTGTCGGGAAATTGGCAAAGGGCCTTCGCTCGAAATGTCGAAGTTCTGCTTGTTTTTTTAAGGTAGTTGCATCCCTACCAACCGAAAGTATAGTTTAAATTAATGTAGTTTTTAAGTTTCAAGTTTATCACATATATGTATTTATTCAAAAACATGCAGGATATTCCAATGTAAATATTTTTTATCTGTAATAAAAGTTATTTAATTGATAAAAGCTATACAATTTTGTTTTTCTCATGTGAGCTAATTCAATTACTACAGATTCAATTGGAACGCCTAGCGGGGACATGGGAGGGTACCGGATACCGCAATACCGTGTAGAAATTTACGAAATACCGATACCGTACAATCGTATACATGTTCGCAAGTAAAGTAGTTATCAATTGATGTCTTTCCATAATAAAAGAAAACACGATCAATTAAACATTATGCGAATGAACATAATTATACTATCGCAAAAACCATCTTAACAACAATGACAAAAATATTACCTTGTGCATCTTCAATATAATAAGCGATTGCTGACGCGGGTAGCCCTACCAAAACGAGACCTCGCACCAAAAAGGAAATTTAGGTTTTCGTCCGACTTCCCCAATAGACACATCTGAAATTTCATCTGAAGAAATTTCTTCATCACTGCTCGGTGATTTCTGAATCGTTGTCAGCTACGTCTGTTGTCTCTGTTGTGTTATTGTCCATGTCTTGTTCCGGATAACCAGAAACGAAAGTGATGGGCTGATCCAGCATAACACAATGTCTCTGATACATGAATTCTGGTAATGTACCATGCTTCGCCATCATTGTCTCTTGGTGCACAGTACGTTGTCTCACTGCAGCTCCATAGGAGGAAACCCAGTTTCTAAGGACATCGCAGTCGACTTGGGACATTTCTACAACAGGCAACAGATTCATAGTAGGCAACGGATTCATAGTAGGCAACGGAGAGAAAAGTATAGCTTCTTCTGATTTAGGATACCATGTCTTTCGACTTGTATGGTAGTAAGCAGCCCATTTAGTTACTCTCTTTACTGATTCCTTCATGGTCTGGCCAAACGATCTGCTGTATTCCTACATGGACAAGTTAGCTTGCTTAATGTGCACGGTTGAATGACAGTTCTCGATGTCAAATGTCATACAACTCAACAGATTTGTATCTTGATAGACAAATTCCTTTACATTCTCAAACAGCTTCTGAAGGCCCCACTCAAGCATGTTTACTGACGATACTGTTTTGGCGGCAACATGCCCTTCAGGATCATTTAGAGTTTGTGTGATTCCTGTGCTATCTTTGATGTCAGTGGTGATTTCATTCAGCATGGATTTGCACTTACGTACAAGTAAAAGAGCCTCAATATCCGACTTGACTCTGTATGTCAACCCTTTGCTATGTACACAAAATGCATCATACAAAGCACCGATGGCGCTTAAAAATGTAGCACACTCAGTTACCTATTACAGAGAAAAAAGGGAAAATCTTCGTTGATCATGTCAACAGATTCAGCTAAATTAATTGTAAGCATGTTGTTGGTTTGTTGGACTTGTTGCTGTATCTCTTATCCACAGACACAATGAACTGTACGATACAGCAATAATAAACATACATTATTCTAAAGGGCAATTTGGTAGATTATTGTACTGTAGTTCTCACTACTGTAAATAATCTAGAAATTTACCTTTCAAAATGATGTTCTTATCTTACCTCACTGCATACTTTGATCGAATCGTCTGTGTATCGCAAAAATAAATGACGTCAAACTCGGTGCATATTCCCATCAGCTGTTTAAAACGAGAATTCTTAGCTAGTCCGTCAATACTGCCTTCTTCCACATCAGAGCCAGCAAATACAGTTAGTTCAAAGCTTCTGTAAGATGCCATACAGAAGCTTTCTTTTGATTGGTAAATAAGATGTCCGAACCAAATCTTGTGAGCATACATGGTTGATGCAAGAGGTGTACAAGATGCATATGCTGGCCACTTTCGATGTCAATCTTGGAAATTCCTTTGGAGTGGGACAAAAATATGCTTCGGTCACATAGGCACATGCTGTTAATCTTAATCCAATCAGGACAATATTCCACAATTAGTTGTTGGTTCACGCCTTTCAAACCGACGCCATCTTTTTCCACTTGGAAGGATAACAAAGCTTCTCGGTTATGTTCCGCAGCAAATACTAATTCACCGTCAGCACACACCATTGCCTTGAAGGATGGCTGCTTTTCGCAATCCCAAAAATGAATCTCATCACATTTGATATTGTTGGCAGAATACTTTGCAGTAAGTGTTCGTATGTACCTTTCTAGTCTCGGTCTTATTTCTCCAACAGTTCCATCATTTGCTAATTGGAATCTCTCTGCAAGCTTAGTGAGCTCTTGCTTCTTTTTCAGGGCGAATAATGGGCGAAATTGCAATTGATCCTTCTATGAACTGTTTAACTTTAATCGGACCACCATGGGAGGAAAGAAAAATAATCCCATCAGAACAGTGGATATCTTTGGCCTGAAGATATCTTTCAATAGCCGTGATTTTGTCCACAGGACTATATAGACGAGCCTTGAAAAGGGTGGATGTGGATGTTTTGACATCGAATGACAAAAAGGTAATCCATCCATAGGATGGGATAGCAACACTTATGGGTGATGGATACATACCACGCTGATTGTCAGGAGAATATTTGTCTAACTCTGGTATAATTGTGTGGCAGACGTAACCGGACTTCTTCAGTTCATCGGTAAATCTTTGTTTTTCACATGATCATTCTTTGGGATCGATTTTTTGAATTTATCTTTCGTACCAGTGTCAGAGAGATTTCTTAAGGTTCTAATTAAAGCCAAGTTTATTCGCTCATTTTGGCATTTTAACCACCAATTAGAGAATGTCACTTTTATACTTTTTCCTACATGGGGGCAATCTGGCAAAATAGATAACAAAACTAGTTCAGGGTCTTCATTACCAGCTTCAAGTTTAGCCTTTATGGTCTCAAAGGCTGTTTTGTTGCCTTGTTCACAATCACTACAAAGTACCATCACAACTCGACACGCATTTTCTCATGACAGCAGTCGCAAAACCGCAAAGAAGGAATATAGCTGACTTGACCCAACAAGCTGCATTCATCGCACACTGTCTTTGTTTCATAGCAAACTTCACAAAAACTACTGCAGTTGATTTGTTCATGAGTAACAATATGACGCTGATGTGGTGCTTGTTTTTGGCAGGATTCACGTACTTGGAGAGTTTTAATGTCCTTCAAAAAATTCGGTCATAGCGTCTCCAGTTTTTCCACTTTGAGTTGCGTAGTCTACTGCTACAGGAAGGGAACAATAATTGTCTAAAGATGTAAGGGATGAGACGATTGCTTCGGTGACAATATTCTCTTTCAGGTAGTCAGGTGAGGGAGTTGGATTTGCTTTAATATAATCAATGTCGATAGGTGCTTTCAACCCAATATTTTCTTTCAACCGGGAGTCAAATTCAATGGCCGGTTTAATAGCGGTGTCTTAAAGACAATAGTTTGATGACGCCCGATTCTGGCGTGTATCCTGCTTGATACTTCGCTCAAATAGTTTCCGAAGGTCCTCCAAGATTCATTTTTTTCTCGGTTAGACTGACATGACTGTTTCTGCTATCGCCCAAGTTCATTGGACCTCTTATGAAACAAGCAGTTCGTCTGCCTCCAAGATAAGTTATCATATTAAAAAATTCGACAACTTCTCTATCGTATTTGTGAAATGGATTGTACATAATCTCTACTACATCACCGAGGTATTTGTAAAAAAATTTGTCTTTTGAGATTTTTCCTCCGTGTGTAAGGTCCTGTATCTTGATACACAATGGATCGGCGTTCTCAACAGCTACGTGGACAGTGAATAGATCGTCAGGGTCAACATTACCTGTGAGGTCTGTGTCGAACACTTCATCAGGTTGAGGTTCCTCAATGCAGGAGCAGCCAATGTGATCCACAGTATCCATACGATGCTCGTTTAGTTCTTGGTCAGAAGTCAAGCTATTGCTTTCGGATAAATTGTTGGAATCATACTCTCCCTCGCTTCCACCTGAGTCATAGTTTCTAGATGAAAACAGTACAGTACATCATGTCTTTAGTGTCACCTGGGTTAAGAATGAGGACGTTACTTGCTTCCATTTCTCAAAGATACTCAAGCTGATATGACGACGCTGTTAAAATGTTTCAAAACTTTCCCTAGCCATAGAGACCATAGAAGAACGCTGATTCTAATCCTAACCTAATTTATTTTAACTAAATAAAATGACTTATGTCAGCTTGTCAATTGTCATATGGTCCATGTAGAAATGAGTAAAAAACCTGAACAATATGTTACAGTAAATAAAAAAGAACACACAAAGAATAATATTAATTTACTTTACTACAATGACAACACTCATTACTTTTCACTGTCGGAAATGTTGATGTCAGAATCGACTTCCTGTCCTTCCTGGTCTTCAACCATTTTTTGCCTTTTTCCATTCGTATCGGTTGCAGCACTTCGCTTAGGTACGGCTTGAAACATGTCCCTCTGCTTCTGTTTTTTCTTATCATGGTCCTTGGCACTGCACTTTAAGAAATGATCTAATTCGAAAGAAATTTAATTGATGAGTGAGCTAGTCAGCAACATACATACAGTAGTAGGCTATACAGTTTAGAATCATTCAATGTTTATTTAAAAATGAGTAAAATATTGGATTGCATTATGAAATAATGAATTGCTCCAGGGCCAGAGGGCCTTTTTAAGAATTTGTCTGTGTATGTGGGGGGGGGGGGGGGAGG